ATGCGTGAGCGGGCATCGTTTAAATTGTATCTCGTACTGGAAACCTGCCTCGGGATCCATCAGACGCGTGCGTGAGTGGGACTTTCACCTGGACTCTAGCCACTCGCCACTCGTGACTGCAATTGGCCATTTCTCACTCGCTTTTGCCAATTTTGCAGCTGTCACAACTCTCCGGAGCCAACTCAAAACCAAATCCAAAGCCAAGCCCCTTAAGGCGATTGTCGTGGCTCGAGAGGTGTTGCCTTAGCTGTCCAGGAAATCCACCAGCACACACATGTCTCTCCGTAGATCCGCCAGATACCAGAGGCAGAGACACAAAGATATACGGATGCACAAGCCACACATGCTGGCGTCTAGAGCTCGAGCTTTGAGCCAAGTCCGGCATTAGCGGCAGATAAATGATCGGCAGGCCGGCAGCGCCCACGCAGCAGATTAGAGAACTCGTCCCCCCGGGCCGAGATGGACATGGAAGTGGAAATGAAAATGGAAACGGGAATGGAATCCAAGTCCGGCTGCTTCCAAGCTCCACATACGAATCTTTTAAAGCTTGACGTTGGTCATTAGCCCGGAACCGGCTGCCGCAAAATACGCGGCATTGTGGCAAACTTTTCCATGCCTCGTTATGAATATGCAACATTTATATAAATTGTCACGTTTATTGCAGTCAGACTGCCCCAGTCCAGTGAGTGCGGCTGCGTCTGTCATTCTGCCAAATCTAAAACTGTAGTTGACTTCGAGGATACCTATCTTGTAATGCCCTTCCAGCCACTGAAGATTGAAATTCTCCTCATATTTGTGGCCTAAAATCCATGATCCAGGAGAAAATTTAAAAAAACATAGACATGTCAAGTCATCATATTGAAGTCATTTTATTCTTCTTGTAATTCATGATGTACCCCATAGTAAGAGTAGATCAAAGCAACATAAAGTCCTGTGCAACTGGACGTGCAGCCCGCCTGCTTCTGGTGGAACGCGCTTTTGTTGAACGTTGATTGCAATCATAATTTATAAATGTTGCCGACAGTTGCCGGCTGCCCCGATGTTGCAGTTGCCGCTACCTTCCATATTTCGCCATCAATAAATAAATACTGTCTGACTGTCTGTCTGTCGGTCTGGTCAGTTCTGGAGCGATGGCCAGAGGTCTGCAGTCAAAGCCAGGCCATTAGCAAGTGATTTGGTGACTTTTTCCAATCTAATTGAATGTGGCGGGCAGCCAGGTCCCCGCCCAGCCAAAGGCTTTAAGAGATCGCAGAGAGCTCTTTAAGCTGCCAGGCAGACCAAGTGCTTCTGTCGCTGCTGCCTGGTAGTTTGCACTTTTTCATTCACTCTTTGGGTTTAATCGCTGCCAGCTCAGTCTAGTTGGGAACTGTTTGCCCATCAGGATACCCAAGCCCGCTCCCATTCCCATTTCCATTCCCGTTTCCAGCTTCTGCTCCCATTTCGCGCTGGTCAAGTGTTGTGGTTGCCATTTGTTTGTGCCAGAAAGCCGCATCAGCAGTGGCGGAGCTCTTGGGTTTTCTAGTGATTTACTATGTCGAGCCAAGGGGCATGGGGCATGGGGCCTGAGGCATGGGGCAGGGACAGTCGGGAAACGTGGCGTATGAGTGATGCTGCATGCATATTCATATACATTGAGATTCATTGTATTTGCGCTGCATTTCCGCAGTATTTTGTATTTTATCTGCTTTGTTCATGTTCGTTCTACTTACGACTTTTCCGCAATTTCCCTCTTTTTCGCTTTTTATGGACCTCCCCCCTCCAGGGAGGGCCAGGAAGGGGGTGCTGCTGCTGTCATATTGCTCGCCTCAGCTGGGGCTTTAAGCAGATTTATTTTCAATTAAACAAGCTCATAACTTGGCCAACAACTTGGCACAACTTGGCAGGCTCTTCGTTAGGCTTCGACTTTGGCTCCATTGCCCGGTGTCCTATGTCCTACGAGCTGTGTGCCGTGTTCCGTGTCCTGGCCTTGTTGCTGGCTTAATTTACGCCAAAAATTCAATTTATTTGAGATACACCTAATCCACAAAAGCAAACTTGATTTATCAACATAAATATTTTGCATACAATGTGCGAGTCGAGCACTCGGTCACCCCAGGCCCCCAAAAATCGCCCCATAACCCCCATGATAATGCATTTCGGCTCCGGTTTTTGTACCATTGTTGTTATTTTGTGCATCTCGGTGTATATGGTGTGTGTGTGCTGAACGAAATTCAATTTTAATGCACTTGAATGGATTTGAACAGCGCTTAGTTGACTTGATTACGGGCCTTTGGCTTTGGCTTTAGCTCTGGCTCTGGCTCCTGCTTCGGTTTCGGTTTCGGTTACGGACTCTGTCCACAGAATTTCATTTGCTTTATGGATTTTGCTATTCCGGGTGGCCAGAGCCATTTTTCCCTTGGCTCTCAAGCAGACCAGCAAATCAAACACTTCAGCAACTCCACAAAAGTCGAAATTCTTCATACTTTTGTGGATAATGTTTGTCAAGCTGCCAGCACCACGAAGCCACTCGCCACTTGGCCGTATCTGTGAGTATTTGTCATAACGCATATAATTTCAAGAGCCGCCCTCAAGAGGGACCGAGGATATATATGTACATATGCAGATGTGGATGCGGAGTGTAATGCTAAATACATGCCAAGCAAATGCTGATGATAATGCAAATGAAATTATTTTTACAACATTCGCCCTCAACCATGGCATGTTTCCTCCCCATTCACGCCCAGAGCTCTCTAGCTCTCCAGCTCCAGCCAGTTGCAATATAAATCATCATTTGCCCGATGTTGCTGCTTTCTGGCTCCTCATTTTGTGTTTGGGAGTCTTACACACATGTAATGTGCCAGGACATGGCCTTAATGTCCGCTCCCCGGTTGCATAGTGGGAATATGAACACTAGAGGCACCCCCAAGGATCCAGCAATTGTGGGTGCATATTTAAGGGGCTTGGGTTTTGAGAGAAAACTTCCCTACTCGTAGAAGGAAGTATTATAAAAAGTCAGTTATCCTTACTGACTGATATACCCACAGGCTACTCAACAGAAGCCCGTCAGAATAGTTAGTTGTGGGGCCTGAAAACTGCCTGCCAAGCTAGATAGTATGGCCCCTGCTCCACTGCCTTTTCGGTAATCTCATTCCAAAAGATCTCGAACGCCCTCATAAGTCATTCGAAAGGGCGAAAACAAATGTCCTGACTATTGTCGGCCAGCCGCAAATGCTATAAAGCTGACAAATGTTGAACAGGAGACAGATACATGGGAGTATATGGATCCAGAGATAAGGGGGGCACAACCACGGATCGCAGGTACTCATAAAACTGTCCAAATGTCAATATTCCAGAGTCACGACGAGGGAGAGCCGAAAAATGCTTTTCAGGCCGCGTTTGCTTTGATTTCAGTTGCCTGGCTGGCTGACTGGCTGACTGACTGGGTGACTGCTAGGGGAGTGGTAGGATAAAGGGATGCGGGCCAGGACTTATTTGTTGCTGTCTGGGAAACACCTTGGCCAAGCAATTTCAATTTGTCCCCGCAGCCGACAACAAGAAAATGAACATGTCAACGGCACACGTCGGATATGGACTTGGATTTGGCTTTGGCTTTGCCTCTCGGATTCAGGTGCACGGCAAGAAACACCACCAGGAAGAGGAGCTACTATGCTTTTCAGGAAGCCTCAATTCAATCAGTTTTTCTCTCAGTGCCTTGTTTGTGGCTCAGTTAACCTGTCGGCTCTGCTCGGCTGCTCAAATTCGTTGCGCTTCGATTCGATTCGATTCGGTGTTTTTTTTTTGGCAACTTTGTAAATATTACAAAATTTAGGTGTCTCGCTTGGTGAGTACGGCAATGAAATATTTATGCACATACACACACGACGGGCACTGTATCCAGGCACTGGCTATGTGTGTCTCTGCCTCTGCCTGTGTTTGTTTTTGCCCGTTCTGCGCAAATATAAACCGACCGCAGTCGAAAGTCGCCAAGGGGACAGGAGGCGATGGTGGTGGTGGTGGGGCCTCTGACTGACTGGGCCTGCCAGTTGTCTGATAAACAGACAATTTGCCAAAGTGGATACGTGCATGGCGCGTATAATTTTGGGGCGCACCTGAGCCCGTTTTCTCCTTTCCCCCTTTCGCCGCCCCGTGCCGTGGCGTGTATTTGGCCTAGACCCCGAGAGGAGCAACAGGAGCAGCAACAATTTCCTCTGTGGCTGTATTTTGTGGTTGTGGACTTTAGCTTGATGAGTGTATCTCGTGTGCGAGCTTGGGTGTATGCTTAGTTGGTTAGTTCGGCTGATGGGGCGACATTGACGGGCCAAAGTGACTTTAAAGAGCCTACGCCCTAGCCTTTAAGCTGGCCAGCATTTGGACGCCTCCTCGTGGTTCGTGTTCCTCACTGTGTCAAAGCTTACTCCAGTGGAGGCCCCTCCAATCTCCATCAAGTCTCCGTCTGCATTTCAATTTCAAGTTTGAAATTCGAAATTTCCCGCCGGTTGTATGCGTCACTGCGCCCACCCAGACCAACCGCCCACCAAAAGAATCTCCGGCGTAACTTTTACGATTTTAATCGTGGAAATTTATGGCATTTTTCTCGCACGATTTCCCCGCGGACGCCGAAACCTCCCGTAGCCACACAATGTATACCCGTATATTCGGAATATATACATATATTCGGAAATAAATAAATGATGAAAACAAACACCCCAACCGCATACAGCTACACGGCCATAAAACTAAACTTTGGCCGCTAGTTTGGCCGGCCAAATATGTACATATATATATTCGAATTCGGATCTGCATGTTCTGATGCCTCAATGGAATATTCAGCCGAAGTCAGCGCCGCCGCGAATCCGCAACCGCCGCGGATTCGGGGCTCGGATTGCCGCTCATAATTTTTGCAGTTGCAGCATAATAAATTTAAGACCAGCCGGGTATTTTGCGCCAATGAGTTATGGCCAGGGTGAATTGAAAGCGAAGTTGTTGACTAACCAGGCGTTTCTATTTTCCCATTTTTCCAGGTGAACGCGGGCAGCTTGTCCGAACAGGCCGGACTACAGCCCGGCGATGCGGTGATCAAGATCAACGACGTGGATGTCTTCAATTTCCGGCACAAGGACGCCCAGGACATTGTGGTGCGCTCCGGCAATAACTTTGTCATCACAGTGCAGCGGTAAGTGCTTTCGATGCCACCTCTTCCGACGGCCATCCTAATGCATGTCCTTTTTGCAGCGGTGGCTCCACCTGGCGGCCACAAGTGACGCCCACTGGTAACGTGCCGCAGCCCAACTCGCCGTATCTGCAAACGGTGACGAAGACTTCTCTGGCTCACAAGCAGCAGGACAGCCAGCACATCGGCTGTGGTTACAACAACGCGGCTCGTCCCTTCGTGAGTGTTCTAATTTGCAATCATGGAGACACCGGGAGAAAGCCTCTTTGTGGAGTGTCCCTTGGGAAAACAATGGGCGATTGGGGCGGAAGCTACTTTCTCTCGGTGTATTCGGGGTATCTAGTGCTCACCACATCATTTATAAAATTCATAAACTGGCAACCCAAAGTTGGGAATGCGGAAAGTTTTAGTTGCCACACAACCGCCCAGCTGATGCTGACGTCCTGATGATGACCAATGATGTTTATAGTTAGTTTCTAAGCCCCCTTCCCCCTCCACTGGCCGATTATTTTGTTGTCTGTCTGTGGCTTTTCATATTCATTCATTTCGTTTTCGGCTGGGCTGAGTTAGGGAAAGCCCCATGCCACCCAGCCACCCTCAACCCCACTGTATGAGTTGACAACATTTGCATTTATACGATGTCTGTCTGTCTGACGCTCTGTTTGTTTGTGCGTAGTTTTGAAAAGTGTCAGAATGAGTAATGAATATGAGTGCTAGGATTATTTGCCTGGCAAGAATTAATGTGCGAAGGGTCCTCGCACTCCCACACACTCCCATACTGGCACACATCTGGGATATGCCATGCATAGTAATGCCCGGTGTCGCTCTCCTTGGGTAGACTAGGAGGAGGATGGGTGACTGCGTTGTATTTGCATGTATTTTATTGTTATGAATTTGTGTAATAATAGCTCCAGCCACTGACAATGATGGCAACAACAAGAGGCACAAAATTGATTTGGGATCATTTTATAAGCCAAGTTTCGGGCATAAAGACATGCAGAGAATATATGTAGTTTTCTTATCAAATAAATATTGTGCTCCGACTCATCACGGAACACAGGCTCAGTTTCACGGCGAAGGCCATCATTTGCAATTACGATAAGTGCGTGGGGGCAGTGCTTTTTCCCATTTTCCGGTGGTTTTTCCAGAAACTTCGCTCATTTCACACTTTTACAGACCTCCGGCAAGTTTTCATGTATTTCCCTCCTTTTCCAGGCCAACGGCGGCGACGGCGGCGTGAAGAGCATTGTCAATAAACAATACAACACCCCGGTTGGCATTTACAGCGATGAATCTATTGCGGAAACACTCTCGGCCCAGGCGGAGGTTTTGGCCGGCGGTGTGCTCGGGTAAGTTTTCCCCCAGAAAAGGACGAAGGGGCAACAAACAACTGTCTGGGCCACAACCGTGACAGTGCAAAATATCAGGAAAAGTTTTACTTAAAAATGTTCTTGCTCTCTGGCTGCCTTGGCTTTACTTCCTCCTCGACGAGTGGAAGGAAAAAGGAAACCAAAAAGCAAAGCAAACAGAAATCGAGGAAAAAGAACGCAGACCGGTGGCCGGTCCGAGTGGCGAGTGCAATTTGGCAAATGATAGCCAACATGGCTAGGAACGCAGTCGGCCAAGTCAGCCAAGTGCCCGTCGACGACTTTTGCGGGCCAAAATGCACGCGTGGGACCGGTCGCCTTTAGCTCTTAATTTCTTTGGGGGATTCTCGGCCAACGGGGCGGATGCGTAACAATCTCGTTGCCGCCACTCACTCACTTAGCGGATAGCATACTTTCCGGCGCTGGCCGACTGGCGAGTGTGGCGGAGCGAAAGTATGCAGCACTTTTCGTTTTACTCTTAATTTAAGAATCTTCAAGAGACTTCCTAAATCTATTTTATCTTCTTTTCAGCGTCAACTTCAAGAAGAACGAGAAGGAATACCAGGCCGACCGGTCTGAGGTCCTGAAGTTCCTGCGCGAAGAGGAGACTGGCCAGTCCACTCCAGGTAAAGATGCCAACTACGAGCTGGCCCGCCTGCTGCTCATCCTGAACGATGGCGCCAATCCGTTCGTGGCCGATAGATTGGGCGATTAGTGGGCAGGTGGCAGGCGGGCGGGCACTCTGCCAGGTCAGCCAGATAGTCAGGGCCAGTCTTTTTTTAAAAACGCCCGCCAGGGACCTTGAAAAGTGTGCTTCTACAAAGTGTAACTCAAATGTTTTGTGTTTTTTCGTTCAACTCATCAGACCATCAGAAGGAGATGGACTTTCGTTTTCTCTATGTGAAGACAAAGTTCTAGTCTCGCACACTTTCCGAAAGCCACCCAGTCATATCTATATATTTATATATATATCTTATATTAACCAAAGTTTCAAAGTCACGTAATAAGTCAAAGTAGATATTAAAGTATTATTTATTACCAGGGAGGCAGCACGAGGGGTTTCAAGTTTTTAGATTGTTTTTGATTGTTTGTTTGTGTTTAGGGTCTGATCGAAGGAAGGGCTGGTTTCACTTTTTGTTTAGCTCATTTCTGTGTAACATCCAATGCTGAAACAAACTATCCACGACACTTCTGGACACCCAACGCATCCTGATCTGTCTCCTTTTGTCTATCTTTCTGACTAACCCATGTTTGTATTTAAAATCTTTTACATAAAACCGACAACACGACAACTACAATCACAATCGCCACACTCACAAGCATTCGGCAAATACGAGCATGATGCACCTCAGCAACAGCCACAACAACAATACGAACAGCAACAGCATCAGCATCAACATCAACATCAGCAACAGCAACAGCAACACTACTACCAACAGCAACAGCAACTGCAACAACAACAGCAGCAGCAGCAACAACAGCAGTCGAGCGCCACTCGCCATGTCAGCGCCCCCATCACCAATCCCAATAAGCCCCCCAGCACCGGCGGACTCCCGACTGGCCAGAACATTTGCACCGAGTGCGAGCGCCTCATTACGTAAGTGATGTCACCCGATCCCGTGTAGCGTCCACTGTGCAGAGTCCATTGTGTATGCCCATTGACTAACACACAGCCCGGTACATTTGTGACTAATTGCTAGGAGTTTCGGGCGGGGTTGAGGCTCGCAGGCCGTCCTGTAGGGCTATCATATTTGTAGCTTTGCGATTAGGTCAGTCTGAAGATGTGGCAGGAGCAGGACTTTAGCTGTAGCCCTTTTCCAATAACTGATTGAATTTTCCCGCCGGTTGCTCAAGCAGAGCCCCACAGCCCGGCCAACTTCTACTGGACCCAGAGCCACGCCATAGGCGGCAATGAGCGACGAACTCCGCTGCACCATCAGCACCAGCAGGACGAGAGGATAGGGGTGCCCCTGCAGTCGAACACCCTGGCCCCCGAGGCCCCCCACCGGCCCAGCTTGCCGGTGGCCCAAAAGAAGGAGGCGCCGGAGTCGGAGCAGCCCCAGCAGGAGGATCCCCGCATCATCGTGCTACCGATCTGCCCCGCTCTTCAGGGGCCCGAGTACAAGGCGGAGATGGAGGCGGCGGCGGCGGCTCTGGCTACCGACCAGGACAGGCGACCACGTCCTCTGTCCGCCAGCGGACATCCGGCGTGCCAATTGTGCGGCGTGGGCATTGTGTAAGGATTTGTTCGACGCTCCATGACAATTCATGCGTCTGATTCCCCCATCTCAGACCTTCCAACCAGTCCCCAACAGCCCCACCCCGGTGTGTCTGCATTTTTTAAATCGCTTTTATTCCATGAAGTCAATTGTTTGCCATTCACGCGCCGTCCCAGCGCCACCTGATCCAGACCACGGGACTCGCATCATTTGTATTAATTTGTATGCCAATTTAATTGGCTCGCCAGCTCGGAGCTTAATTCGATAATGCATTATAGCTTTTACATATTTTTCGCATTACCTGAGGACTTGCGCATACACAAAACGACACTGCCAGTAGTCGGGTGGTTCAATCCAGACATCAAGTGCTGTTCCATCAATCATGGATGTGAATGTCCCGACGCGTTCGAGGAGCTTTTCTCGCAGTGTGAAAAATGCAACAAAGAATTTTATGGATCCGTGAGAAGAGCTCCTTAAACTTTCGACGTCCTGCATTCCAAATTTCTGCTAATAACTTGCCTTCCCGCCTTATTTCAGTGGCGTCTTTGTGCGCATCAAGGATAAGAACCTGCACGTGGAGTGCTTCAAGTGTGCCACCTGCGGCACCTCGCTGAAGAACCAGGGCTACTACAACTTCAACAACAAGCTGTACTGCGACATCCACGCCAAGCAGGCCGCCCTGAACAACCCGCCCGCCGGAACCGAGGGCTACGTGCCCGTCCCCATCAAGCCGTAAGTGATCTCAGTTATCCTTTTTTTTTTTTTGATTTTTGGATGTCCGTTTGCACGGCCAATTGGTCTGCGCGGCGGCAGGGGGCTGGGTTGCAAATGAAATATAAATAAATTCAGCGCATTCGTCGCTTTATGCCAAAATACATATATCTGACATTCCGGCGACAAAAATCGGCCGTGCTCAACCGAGTATTTACATGCCAATGCAGGCGCCCATTTCGATACCCTACGATGGGTATCATACCCTTGATGATTCCCCCTAGAAACATCATTCAGAGAACTTGGAATATTACAATAGCTCCCCCCTCTGAAAAGTATTCAAATGTCGACCTTCTGTCGGAAATTCTTTTCAAAAACTTTTTGTTTTGGTTGGCCAGTGGCCACTCTCCGCATTTTGAAATGAAAGAGGCGACACTGATTGCTCTGCTGACGTGCCATCGCCTGTGCCACAAATTTTTAATAAATGAATTGGCAGCATATGTGGCATCCTGGCCCGCCGAACTGGGCATGCACTTCCCAGCAGATCTATTGGCCAAAGCCCAGTGCCATGGCAGCAGACGCCTTAGGGTGTGCGATATTGCGATATTGCTGGTTTTGTCAAAAATCGTCCGATTGCGTGACAGTTGCAATTTGCATTGGCCATTGACCGCTGGGCATTGGGCATTTGGAATTTATTTGGGGTTTTGGTCGGCGTGCCAAATTTAAAACGATGTCGTTTTGGCCAAAGCAAATTAAAGGACCGCCCGTGGGGGGCAATTAGCAAATGGCTGGCGACAGGCAATTAATGCTCCGCACTCTATGCTCATAACTCTTTCGATTTTCTCGCCACAGCAACACCAAGCTGAGTGCCAACACCATCTCGTCGGCTTTGAGCTCGCACGGATATAGTGGTGCCTCGAATGGCTACTCCAACGGCAGCTCGGCACCAGCTCCGGCTCCGGTAAGTGAAGACACCTGTAATCGTTGGCTCGTAACTGTTACCTGTTAACTGTTAGCGTGGCTAAAAACAGCGTCAGACATCCCACCGAAACACAGAGTTAGACACAGAGCAGACTCAGACAAAGCCTTGCACCTACAGCCGCCTTGCAACATTCAATTTTATCATATTGCCAGCAAAAATGTTTGCTCAAACTCAGCACATTTCGCCGGAGGCCCCAGCACTTCCTCCGACATATGCTAAAATCATCTACGGAGCAAGAGCAGCAAAATGCAATATAATGCAAAAGTTTTTACTGGCTGAAGTTCAAACAAACTCTGACAATTTTATCAAGAAACGCTTTTGTTTACCATTCGGCTCCTGCTTTCTTCTCAAAACTCCTGCCACAAAGTGCCTTGTTGCACTTGCCTTACTCGGAAACATATTTCAAGACATATAGTACGAGTATGGAATTGATGTATTTATAGAGGCTCTTCCTAGACTGCAAACCTGTAGCTTATTTTTCTCTGTGGCCTTGCTTATGTGTGTGTCCTTAATTCTGAATCCTATTTCTGTGTTTCCGTGTGTTGGACGTCGCCCGTGTGATTTGCATGGAATTATTGTTTACGTTTGTGGCAACGACCTTCGGCTGATGGGGTAAGATGAGGGCAGATGAATGGGTCTGCAGACCGACGACCACCGACCGCTGGGGGGATCTAGCCGGGGGGAGTGGACCATTTCCCCCATTGGCACCGACTGTCACATCAACTCGAATCGACACGGCCAGATTGATTGCACTGGGGGGTTAAAAATAATGCGACTGCAGTTTCGGTTTTGCGCGGCCAGCGCATTTCGCGAAAATGTGCAATGGCTGCTAAGAGCTAAATATATATGCCAAGCGCTACTTTTTACTCGTGCCGCCGTCGTATTCCGTGTTATTCTTATGCATTTTGTTTGGGTGATTTTTTTTTTTTTTTTGGCCATCTATAAAAAACACACAGCTGCGGCGGTTTTTGGCAGCTTTCTGGCCGCCGTGGCCGCCAGTTTCGTTGCGCCCTGTGGCCAGTGCGCATCTCGTTCCCTCCGTGTCCGCGACGTTCCCGTACCGTGTCCGCCCGAAACGAGTACCGGAGAAAGTCCAGCCGCGGATAGAACGCGTTCGAATTCGAATTTTTGACCAACGACCAGCGAATCAAGTGAAACGAATCCCAATTTCAGTGATTTGTGCAGCGGAAAGCGCTTTTCCGAAACACTCTTAGAGTTGCAAAGGTTGCATAATCACGCGAGTGATCTACCAAGTGGATGGGGTTTATTATAGCCCTCTTACTGACCTTGACCTATTAGCCACATTTAGAACACCACCACCGACACACACACACACCTACTCATGAGCTCCCATTCAGCCGCAGGTCGTCTTGCCCGCTGCCTGCCTTTAACTAACCTTCTTTGTTAACCCCCTGCGCCCGCATTAACCCATTTAGCCTGAGTCTGAGCCCAGCCAGGAGCTACCTCTGCCACCGCCCCCGTCGCCCACACAGCTCCTGCAGTATGCGGAGGTGGACCACCTGGTGTCCCCCGAGCAGCAACACACTCGCACCCACAGCAGCCTGTCCTCCATCTCAACTGGCTCCTCCTCCTCCGGAGTGGGCGGCAGCGGCAGCGGCAGTGGATGTGGCAGCGGCAGTGCCAGTGGCGTTGGCCCGCAGAGCCAGCAGAGCTACTCCTCCACCTTGTCGCTGGACAGGTTCGGGTCTCCGCTGCACTCGCGTCAGACGTCCTCGTCCTCCACATCGCTGGAGGCGGGAGGGCTGGCACCCTCTCCTCCGCCGCCGCCACCACCACCTACTGCTGCTGCAACTGCAACTGCCGCGGCCAATTACAGGCTGCAGGGGCAGCAGAATGAGAACGACATGAATACCCAGAACCAGAACAAGGGTCACAACGCGTACAACCAGATGCTGAAGGAGTACTCCAACAAGCTGCAGCAACAACCATCCCTCCACCCGAACACCACACCGCACACCACACCGACACAGAGACACAACAACAACACGGCCAAGCCATTTGCCGCAGCACACCAACAGCAACAACAGCCGCTTGTGGCAGCGCTAACGGCGACACTTGCTAATCAATTGAAATTTAACCCACATCAGGTTGCAAGCCCCCAAGCAGCAGCAGCAGCAACAGTAGCACCGCCAGCACCAGCAGCAACTGCAACACCTCTCATTGCGCCAGCAACAGTTGATAGCTCGCCAGCAACAATAGCAGTAGCAGCAACAGCAACACCGACACCAACAGCTACAGACAATATGTCGGCCAACGTGGCGGATGAGCCGTCTTCGATTTATGGCCAAATTAACGCCAACGCGGTGGCACCTGGCCTCGCCCCCATCAGTGGAGGCGGGGACCAGCCCTTTGAGTATGTGACGCTCACCGGCAACGTCATCCGCAGCGTGCAGGCCCCCGGAAAGGGGGCGGGCATCAACTACAAGGTAAAACAACCCCGCACCCCAACAAAGGTCGAGGTCAGTGAGCAAATAGACACCTGGTAGCTGAGTTACTAAGTAGCCAGGAGGATTTGTTTTGTAGTCTAGTCTTAGACTAGAGTATTAGGGAAGAGATAGATACTCACAGGATCGTTAATCAATTCATAGTTTAAGGCTTCTTTCAAAAGGCAGTTTGTTATGAGAAAGTCAGGGGCTCACTTGACCTTATTAGGGAGGTTCTTACTCAGATGAGTTCACTCAAAACGTAAGTACCCCGCTCTGCGCTCCGCTCAGCTCGCACCGCGCCCGCTCAGATCATCCAAGATCTGTCCCCAAAACTAACTCTGAAAGCGATGTTAAGTGTTCTAAAGTGTTAGTCTTGAATCCAATTTTGGAATGAGTAACCCCTTCTAACCTCGCACTTTCCTCTCCTCCAATCCAAAGGTCAACCAGGGCTTCGCTCGTCCCTATGGAGCCGCCGCCCCCAAGTCGCCGGTCTCGTACCCGCCGCAACAGCAGCAGCAGTCGCCCCGTCCCGCCCCCGGCGGCAACAACCCGTACGCCACTTTGCCCCGCAGCAATGTCGGCCAACAAGGTAAGGCTGCCGACAACGACGACTGTCTGTCGGAAGGTGAATGGGTCTAGACACTTAAGAAAATTCGAATCTTGTACGATATGTAGTTCCTCCAGTTAGTTCCTTGTTTGTTTAGCCAGCAGAGTGATTGATAGTCAGATGGATATGGCCGAGTCGAGCTGATGCTAGTCGACCGGTCGATTGTTGTATAGTATTAACCGGATTGTAATGACGATGAGCTTATATATGAAAAATAAATTGCACATGACTTAACCGTAACGCCGAAACAACTAACAATAGTCCTCAGAAATGTGAAATATCGTGATCTTTCGAGATGCTTATGGCGAAATTTACTAAACAATTCTCTATCTTGCTCCCCTGAAACTGAATGCAAAACTATTTGGCAAATGTGGCTGCAGAAAACACTTAGCATAGTTTAAGCCTCCACTGTCTATAGACCGTCTGTATGTATATATCTTTGTGTGCTGTGTACATATGTAGGCCGTAATGTGAATGTGAGGTACCAGCCACAGCAACAGCAACACCAGCAGCAGCAGCAACAGCAGCAGTACAACGCTCAGCAGAAGCTAAAGCAGCAGTATAGGAACTCTTACCCCTTGGGATCTAATTATAACACCCCGAGTCAGTCCCCCTACATCACAGGCAGCATCAACAACAACAACAACAACAACAACTATAGCACCTACAACAATAACAATGTCTATCGAGGTAAACAGCTGCCACAATGCAAGAGCTGCCTCGCCGAACGCCTCGCGGTTTTCAATTTCAAGTCACTAGACTCGCTGCCGTAGACCTAATTCACTTGTTGAGTTGCGAGCTGCTGCTTTAAAGAGTTTCTGCCAATCGCCAAAAAAAAAAAACACATCCGCCCTCATTCGATAATACGCCAAATCCATTCAGGCTCAAAGCACACACACAGTCAGGACCACGGATGAATTGCATTAGCAGGACATCACTCTCCCCGAATCCGATCCGATCCAGACACAACCCCGACCTAGGACCGCCTCTGTTTAATAATGGAAACATTTTTGTTGACAAACTCAATCAATAGGTGGAAACATTTTAAAATGTGTTTATCATTATTACGGGCCCAGACGGGAAATTAAAACTGACAATGGCCCTGTGTAACCGAAGTGAGGAAACAGGGAACCCAGGCAGGTGGTGTGGGGACGGTGCCATCAGCGGTTTCAATGCCAATGCGATTGCCATCTTCCACTTCCGGTTGTTCGGAACATGTTGAAAGGCGAATGAAAATGGGGAAATGCGATAGGGTATGGTGGTTGGGTGGCTTGGGTGGGAAAACCAAGCCCAACCAAACCAAAACAAACCGATACGATGCGATGCATTTCGAAAAACCAAACCAAATGAAAGCAAACCGAACCGATACACGCACTGCGAATGCAGCGAAATGAGACCCATTCATGGACACAGAAATAAATGATATAAAATGTATATTCCCCTGCCATCCCAGCCCATGGCCTCCTGCTTTTGCAGTTGTGGTCGCTTCCTTTACGTATTGGCAGGACATTTTCTCTGCTTAAATACAACACCACAATTCGGTATTCGGAAAAATGAAGAAGCCCCCGAACAGTGCGTTGCAAAAGCATGATTTGCGTAGCCTATTTTGAAAGCTCTGCCGTAGGTGAACATTCACTTTTCGTCGGCACTGTGCCTGCAGCTTTGCCGAGAACCCTTTGGGGACGCTCCACGCAATTTATGGTGTTTTTTCTTCGCAATCTGCACATATATCTCCGCTCCTCCGTGTTTGTCTGTTTGTTTGTTTGTTTATCAATTACCGAGCTGCGGAGCCGGGCTGTCATAACGGAAATGAATTAACAACAAATATGGCGGCGGTAGCCAGCAATGGCGCTCACAATTTATGGAGCCTGCCATCTTGTGGGCTCCGGGCAATTAAAAGTACAATTAGCGAGGAGCCCCTCATCTTCGTTCCGTCCAGGAATCAATCTCCTAATCAAAGCGAAAATCACGCCTAACCGCAGCAATCATTTCGGGTTTCGGTTTCGGCTCCGCGCATGCCACCCCCGGCGGCATATGAGCAAGTCCCAGCTCCTCCAGCCGGAGTACCCCCAATGGGCAGGAACAAGGGAAAATTGGGCCAGCAAACAAATGTTTGCCTTGCACAAATTCCAAAAGTGCCGACACGCACTGCCACACACGGAGTGGAGTGGAGTCGGGAGCCGAGCCGGGAAATGTAAACGAAAGCAGATAAATTACCAGCCATTATTATCCAAACAAGCGTCCTGGTGATGGCTCCTTGCTTTTTTTTTTGTTCTGAGGGGAGGGGCTGGGAATATTGAAGCGTGCCAGGAGGCCATACATCACATCCTACGCTGGCATTCGTCAGAGTTCGGGGCAGGAACAAGATTTATCGGAAGCACTTTGCGAATCGGGCGGAACTATGTATGTCCCAGGCTCACTAAGCACTATCCTAATAATTGTTTTGGTCTCTGATTCTTTTAGGTTACGGTTATCCCTACACGTATTAAGTATCCCCAGTAACACACACACACAAGCCAAACAGCAAACAAGGCGTGCAAAGTTGGCGAAATACCGGAAAGAAAAGCTCTACAAATACCTTATACTATCACACTTTGAATGTCAATGAATACTTTTGGTTTTAAGCAATAAATTGCCACGAAATACCTTCTCTATACCTTCGTATTATAGAGTCTATAAGAATTAAAGAATATACATATGTACTTGTACCTGCTTCATGCCTAACCGCATTCAGCTTAAAGCGCTCTCGATGGTCGTTCTGTCGTTCGAACATAATCTTTATATAAACCACTAATCGAACTGTGTTCGCGGCTATTCTAAGAATTCCTTTTCTTTCTGTCGTTTGCGCAACTTTGCATGCCTTTTGTCTAAGAGGGAGACCCAGGCCGGGGGGCACAATACAATAAAAAGCATAAAGAACAACTTTTTGCTGAATGCCCTGGCGGCCTCTTATTTTGGCCCGAAAATGCCCAAAACCCGAAAACCCCAAAAACGAAAACGAAAAACTTTCTGCCAACATTTTTGATATGACAAAATATTTGCGGCAATAATTTCGTTTCGTTTCCAACGCTTGTTTGTTTTCTGTCCTTTGTCCCGGAACAGGGCCTGGTCCTGGCCCTGATCCTAGCTCTGGCTTTGTCCCAGGCCCTGGTGCTGGCCCTGGCCCTAGTGCTGGTACTGGTCTTGGTCGTGTGTTTCTGCCATTTTCAATTTCTGCAAAATTACAGCCAATACCGAATTATGCATAATAAAATCCAATGACTACCTGTCGACGCCATTTTTGCGCTCAGTGGGGTAGTCGTGGTGGGCGGGAGTTTGGGTGGCAGGAGGCAGGGCCTGTCAGACGTGGAACCATAAAAAATGGAAGTAAATATGCGTGGCTAGCAGGGAGGGAGGCGGAAACATTGCTCCACCGTGTGTGTGGGTGGGTGGGTGTCTCTGTTTATTGTTGCTCGCCATGGCTCTGAAAATGGTTCTGAAAATAAGAAATAAAAAATTTATTCGAGGGACATAAAACCTTCCCCGCCCCTGCCTGCCCTCTCCTCCCCTTGACGACTATTGTTATATCGCATTTAATATTTTCCCTCTTTATACGGCCGTAGCGATACTCCGCCGTTTTGTTTGTCTGTCAACAAATTGTTGATGGGCGGGAATGAAAGTTTCCGCGCCTCGATTAAGTTGCTTGACTAACCATCCTGTGTGTGTGCTGTACTGTGCCGTGTGTGGCTCGGATCTCACCCCTCGAAACACCACTCCAACTCCATTCACTCACACTTGACCCAGACTGACCGGACTCAGGAGCTATATTTAGTCGTAGTTGCTATCGTTTTTTGCCGCCTCCACAGAGAAACTTAAAAGGGCCGCGGAACTCCTTTTCCAAAAGTCGGGTGTTTGTCAAAACCGAGGAGTTTTGCGGCTCTGTTTGCAAGTTTCAATGTGACCGCCTGTAGTTTTCATCCCAAAACAGTTGTGCCCCCGTGCATCCGCTGCCGCTTTCGCCGTTGCACCACCACTGATCCTCTCCGCCGCTTTCTCAGTGCCAAGGACTAACAAGCGCTTGTCTTTTGTTTCTTTCTGCTCTTCTCTTTGCCCCCGACCCGCTGCAATATACTAATATACCCACAACACACATTTACCCCTGAAACACTCTGCCCCCACTGCTGTTGCCCCGCCGCCGAATGAACCAAAAGAGGGGGAATCTGAGGAGCTGCAGCCCGAGTTCGAGGAGGAAGACTGCTATGAGGTAGATATCGAGGCGGAAATGGCCCGCAGTCGGCAGTCACAGCGCGGCTCCAGCTTCACTTGGCCTCCGCCTCAGGACGATAGCCACCTGGCTCCCACCGCCGCCCCTCTATATATTCCCCCACCGGAAACGCAGCATGTGGTTGTCGCGAATCCCGTACAGCAAGTACCGCCCTTGCCACCTGGAGGCGCCACTACGCGCCTCGATCCGCAACCTCCGACATGCGACGGCGGCAACGGAGCTCCTCCCCAGTGGCAGAGCTACTCGGCGCCCCAACTAACCACCTCCAATCCCCGCCAGATGCAGGCGGAACAGCAGGAATCCAGCTCGGAGAGCTACACCTCGACTTCGACCACTACTACCACGACATCAGAAGAGTACCAGCGGATGTATGCGGCCCAAATCCAAGCCTACCAAATGCAGGATATGCAGTCGGGCTCGGAGTTCGACTACCAAGTGGACTACGGCAGCACCCAGGACTCCATCCAAGAGTACGCCTCGGGGAGGAGAAGTGCTCAGGAGTGTGTGGACACGCTGGCAGCTCCATTGAGCACCTACAAGCTCATCGACATGGTAAGGGAGGTGACACCCAGTCCTGTAACTACTCCCGTAACCACCCCCGCTCCCATTTCTGCTCGCCGCGTCGTTTTCAACGATGAGCCAGAGATTAAAGAGCTTCCTCAGATTCCCATTGAGCTGGAGACCATACCCGAGGCTGCCGAGGATCGTGAGGGCCTTGTGATTGAGCAGAGGTGCCAGATTCTCGAGAGCGAGCGAAAGTTCCAGCCCACCCCGGAGATCAAGATTGAAATTGCACCTGTGCGCCAGATACCGCCCTCGAAGATTCCCAATCCCATGCCCAAGGAGTGGATTAATCCCATGATCAGGGTGTTGACGACAGCTCCGGAAGTTCCCTTCCACTTGGTAGAATGCCCTTTTCCCAGGCCTTGTGGTGACAGTTTTGAGGCTGAGGCAGCCGCTCAAGCTGAAGCTCAAGCCCAAGACCATGCCGAGCCTCCACTACCTCCTCCTGTTCCTGCTGAAGCTCCAGCTCCCGTGGAGCCCTCACCCGCTCCGCCCCTGAGAGAGTCGCCTCCCCGTGGCTCCCGCCTAACCAAGGCCATGATCACTGCTCCCGAGTTCGAGCTGAAGTTCGCCCCTTCCTCCGATCAGGGCATTCCACTGCCTGAGGAAACGGTTCCCTACATGCCACCGCCGATTGATATGAAACCCTACTTGAGGGAGGACTACCGCCCCAAGTCGCCCTTTGTGAGTGCCCTGACCACTGCGCCCGATCGCCGCTTCGAGGGTCACTTTGACCGCGACGTGCCCATCCACCTGATCGACCTACCCACTCCCAAGGAGCATCTCAGTATGGGCGATGCCCTGGTCACCGCTCCGGACCGAGGCTACACCCCCCTCAACCCCGAAAATGCCACTCACCGATTGGACGAGGAGCAAAAACAACAGGAACTGAAGAAGCGTGAATTTCAGGTGCTGGACCACGAGGAGGAGCTAGGCATACGTCCCGAGCCGCCGCAGTCGGTGGAGTTCTATACGACGGACAGGAGCCAGAGCAGGAAGTCTTCGGCCTTTGCGGCCATGCAAGCATTCCAGCCTTCCCGGGAACCGCTGTCATCCGCATCCGCCTCCGGCAGTGTCACTAACACTCCCAGGGATTCGATTATCTCGGCGTTGAAGGAGGAGCCGGATCTGGAGTACCAGAAGTTCTGCAAGGCCCAGCAGCGTAACCAGAAGCGGCTCGACTATTTCCACAAGAAGGAGGAGGAATTCCAGCAGACCTTTGGCCTGAGCCAGCAGGAGCTGCAGCAGACTCAGTTGTTGCAACTGCAACGGTGTGTCAAGGCTGATGAGTTGCAGCAGCAGATTCAGCAAATCACTCAAAAGTCCCAACAACAGCAGCAACAGCAACAGCAACAACAGCACTCCCAAGTAACCCAAAGATCCCAACAACAACAACATCAACAACTGTCCCAAGTTAACCAGAAAACCCTTGCTGAGACCCAATCCCTGCAGACCAGGAGCTCTCAAAGCTCCTCCTATAGTTCCTCCAAAGCGACTAGTTCCTCTAACTCCTCTTCCACAGTCCCACCTCAGGCTTACTCAGCTGTGATTGTGCCTGCACCTGCATCTGCACCTGCTCCAGCACCCGCTCTAGCACCTGCTCCTGTACCTTCAATAGCTCTCCCTGCTCCATTCTCTGTAAATACCAGTAGCAACGCCTACTCCTCCACCACCAGCAAGTTCGATGCCCATGAGCTTATCGAGGAGACTGTCGAGGAGCTCGAGCACTCGGAGGTCCTCTTTCCGCCGCCATCCCCATTGAGCCACCTCACCAAGCAGGGCAAAGCCGTACAGTCCGGCCTCCATAAGGCGGACAACATACCTAAATACCAACGCAACTGGACCGTGCTGCCCACCCAGAGTCCCATACGCACGCCGGAACCGCATGAGCTGCGCGAGAACGTGCCCTTGGCTTTTGTGGATGCCCCCAAGGTGCCGGTTACTAGCGATACCTCCACTGTACATAGACCCATAGCCAGGGCCCAGGTAGCAGTTCCCCCACCGTCGCTAACGGTGCCGACAACTGTGGTGTCTCTCGAGAAGCCCCAGCTGTCGGTTCCAATTATAATCGAGGGTGATCGCGCGGGTCCAGTAACGATGGCTTTTCAACCGCTAGACGAGTTCGTCCGTCCGGATCAGGCCCAGACGCCAACCCGGCCTTATACTCCTTCGATGACCCAGAAGCCGGCTCCGATAGTGCCCTTTTACCAGACCGAGGAGAAGCTGTGCTTCGACGAGTGTCCTGCTACCCATGCGCGGAACTACGATATGGGAGCCGCCTCCCCGTTTCCGGACAGAGCTCGGTCCCCAGCCCCAGGACCACCGCCGAATCCGCTCTCCGCCATCCGGGCTCCGCGGATGAAGGAGCCGGAGTCGAACTTGCTCACCGTCTCTGGAGGAGCCGCCCGCTTACAGACAGGCTCCATCACCACGGGCCAAAGCTACCAGGGACAACTGCTGGCCCACTCGGAGCAGTCCACCCAGTCGGCCAGGCAGAGCTTCACCCAGCAGCCGGAGCGCGTCACGGAACAGCGAGTTGGGAACCTGAACATCCAGCAGCGAGAGCAGTCCTCCCAGCTGCAACAGCAGTCCCAGAGCCAGTCGCAGAGCCAGACTCGCAGCCAAGTGGGCAACACGCAGATCGAGAGGCGTCGCAAGGTCACCGAAGAGTTTGAGCGGACCCAGAGTGCTAAGACTATAGAGATCCGGACTGGATCCCAGTCTCAGTCCGTTTCCCAGTCGCAGGCGCAGTCCGTGCAGAGTCAGTCAGAGTCCACGGAGAGGAGGTCATCGTACGGCAAAACAGGTTATGTGGCCACCCAGGCCCGTCGCCTTTCCGGCTTAGAGCAGGAGATCACCAGCTTGACCAGCCAGTCTCAAGCTATAAGTGCCCGGGCTTCCACTTTGGGGGAGAGCTGCTTCCCCCAGCTGCGATCACCCACATTTGACTCGAAGTTTCCCCTGAAGCCAGCGCCGGCACAGTCCATAGTGCCTGGCTACGGGGCACCACCTGCCAGCCAGGCAGCCAGCAAACTGGTGGCTCCTCCACCGGGTTTCCTACAACAACAGCAGTTCCAACAGCAGCAGATACAACAACAACAGCAGCAGCGATCCGCCTACTCATCTGTGCAGCAGAGTTCGAAAACATCCACCTCATCGCTCTCATCTTCATCTGCAGCATCTGCGTCGCAAAGCCTAACCCAAGCTTCCTCCGCTATTACTACCACCACTAATAACCAGGCCACCTCGGCCTTCCGGAGAACCAGCAATGGTAGCAGCATCATCAAGCCTAATCTGGCCTCGCGGCCTTCCATCGCTTCCATCACAGCTCCAGCTCCAGCGCCTGCTCCAGCTCGGGCTCCCAACGCGGTTAAAGCTCCGATTGCCCCGAAGTCGGTGATTGCCAACGTGGTGCAATCCGCTGCTGCTCCGCCGCCTGCTGCCTCTGCGCCCGCTGTCTTTCCGCCAGATTTAAGCGATCTGAACCTGAACTCTAATGCCGATGGTTCTGCAGGTCCTGGAGGCAAGAGCGCCGGAGCCTTTGGAGCCACCTCAGCGCCCAAGCGCGGCCGAGGTATTCTCAACAAGGCCGCCGCACCCGGAGTGCGCATCCCACTGTGCAACAGCTGCAACGTCCAGATCAGGTGAATTTAATGGTGGATGTTGCATGTTCCAGTGTTCGATGTTGTGGCCTCTTATGTTTCTAAGAGGCAATTATGTTTACTTGATGTTCAATTTTTTAAACTAATTTATTACTATTTGTTTTAAGTATTCTAATAACCCAAAAATTGTATCCTTTACCAAGGATTGGCTCCCTACTGATGCCATGATAATTCGCATGCCATGTACCCGCTAACCCGCTTGTTTTTTGTTTTTCTCTGTGGCCCTTATTGCAGTGCCTCCAGCAGCTGCTAACACCACTAATCTGCATGCCACCTTGCCACGCCCCGTGCCCCAGGTAGCAACTGACTCTCCCTCCCACGAGCAACTGACCTCGGAGAAGCAAGCTCACGATGCCACCTCAATGTTGGCCGAGTCTGTGGGAAAAATCAACATGGGCGACAAAACCAACGCCTTTATGCAGGAAGCCGGAAAAATCATCTCTAATATGCTGGAAGCTAGATTGGCCAACAATCCAGGAGGGGGACCGGCTAGTGCGCCACTCTCCCATGCCGGTAGCAACCTGAGCCTTCGAAGCAACAGCAGCTCCAACCTGTCCAAGAGTCCGATGATTGTTCGCAAGCGACTAGACCTTGATGATTTCAAGCACCTGGACCCAACCCAGCCGGTGGCTCTGCAACCTGTGGTGGCCGTACACCCCCTCAAGGACCCGGTAGCCACCGAGAGTGGTCACCAGAAGGCCCAGCCACAAGCGCCCCGAGTGGAGATGACTCTGCAAATGGAGCTGCCGGCACAACAGCACCCCATGGGCAAGATTCTGGATCTGTGCGACAGCGGCAAGGCTTTCGATGCTCCTGAGCCAGTGGCCTTCAGGAACACGCTGCGCCGCACAGGTGCCACACATGGCCCTCAGGCCACCCAGGCCGATCGCCGATCCTACATAGAACCCAAGCCTGCAGGCATTCCGCAGAACGGCACCCAGAACGGTAACAATGCACCGTCTAGCGCGCCCTTTAGTGTCTCCGTCAAGGCACTGGGTCCTGGCCGCCACGATGATCCGTCAACAATGTCGGAGGAGAACGAGAGGGCGGTGAGTCAGTTGCTCAAGGAGGGTAAGCGACCAGTGTGCTGTCAGTGCAATAAGGAGATTACTTCGTAAGTGTTAAGCTTTTTCTCGTTGTTTTCTTCTGTGTTCTCTCATATCCCATGGTTTCTACCATACTCATACAATGCTTTTATCGACTCCACAGAGGACCCTTCATCACGGCTCTGGGACGCATCTGGTGCCCGGACCACTTCATCTGCGTGAACGGCAATTGCCGTCGTCCGTTGCAGGATATCGGATTCGTTGAGGAGAAGGGCGACTTGTACTGCGAGTACTGCTTCGAAAAGTTTCTGGCGCCCACCTGCAGCAACTGCGCTGGCAAGATCAAGGTAACTACAGCTAACGCAGGATGTCCTGGATGACTGACTAATGTATTTATTTCAGGGTGATTGTCTGAATGCCATCGGCAAGCACTTCCATCCGGAGTGCTTCACCTGCGGCCAGTGCGGCAAGATCTTCGGCAACAGGCCGTTCTTCCTGGAAGATGGCCAGGCCTACTGCGAGGCCGATTGGAACGAGCTGTTCACCACCAAGTGCTTCGCCTGTGGCTTCCCCGTGGAAGCTGGCGACAGATGGGTGGAGGCCCTGAACCACAACTACCATAGTCAGTGCTTCAACTGCACGGTAAGTGATCGGAGAACAAATATATTGAGGCCTTTAATAACTATGTATATTCCCATTTTCTATAATACAGTTCTGCAAACAGAACCTGGAGGGCCAGAGCTTCTACAACAAGGGCGGTCGTCCCTTCTGCAAGAACCATGCGCGCTAATCCGCCAGCTGGCCCATCGGCTATTTTTGTTCGACTTCAGGGATCACGCACACTAACCAACAAACCCACAACAACTATCTTCATACACTATGGACCACCATGATGGGGACTACTCGCATCCTAAAGCTTATATTATATTTGTCAGAGTGATTAATGCGTTATGATTATTATTTCTACATACTTGTTTTGTGCCTACAACAAATGTTATCCTAATTTTAAATGAATGAACTAAGCAGTCAGCCCCGTATGGAAAGAAACTCTACTGAAAACGACACGAAATCGAATTAGCTAGCCAATTGTATGCCCCGCTCTCATCAGAAACACTCAATGAACTATTATTTATTCAATCATCGCACCATAACCGATAACCGATAACCATATCCAAATCCCCTGTGGCCAGCGTTACTTCACTTCTGTTCCGATCAACCCGGACTAAAGGCCAACAAATCGCGCAAACGGATTTCCTAGCCAGCGAATCAGAGAGTCAAACACACAGAAGTCACAGCGGTAGCTATTTAATTTCTAAATTTATGTTGTAAATTATCCATTATCTGAGTGTAAATTTGTAAATGATCAGCAAGTGAATAAATTTCGAAATCTTTTTCGCGTTTAATCGACGAATTTCTTCTTTTGATTTGCTACTACATCGAATCTGAGCTCCTAATTTACTGTGTGGCATGGGTGCATTACGTATCCGCCTTGTGTGTAATGTCATAATCGTTGAGGGCTTCCGGTTAGCTGAACGCACGAATTTCTTTCACTGCCTGAAAGCATGCAACAGTTTCCGGTTGGAGGAAGCTACAGTGATGGCCAAACCAATAGCATGCCATACTTACCCTTCTCAGGGCCGACGTCTTTTCGAGTTATTTCGGGCCGTGCTGTTCATAGGCACACGCACTGCCGTGGCAATTTCATGCTTAACCAATTTTTGTGTTGGTTTCATTTGAGCCAGGCATTTTATTTTTTTCGGCCCTGCACATCTGGAGGTGTGAGTGGGTGGCTCCACATTTTTGCCCATTCGGTGTTAATCGCTCCCCCCCCCTTGCTCGGAAAACCACCCCACGAAACAAACAAAACTTCACAGGCCTGGTGATGGCAACAAAATTTCCGCTAGATTAAGCCAGAGGATCAGGATGTGAGGAAGGGACCAAGGATGCAGGACGCAGAAAGCGGGAAGCACAACCCTGGAGCCATGGAAGTGCCAGGAAGAAAAACAATTTGTGGTTTTGTGGTATTTTTCAACGATTTGTTGGGTTTTTTCCTTTTATTTCTGATGTTTAGTTTACGTCGCCTTGCACATATTAGAGGAAAGGACTTTAAGTTAGTTCGTGTTTGTGTTTGTGTGTGTGTGCAGGACACGCATATAGTCGTAACTTATCATAGGGGTAGGTCTAACTATTTTTTTTTTTTTTGTTTTCTTTGTGCGAAACGCATTCAGAAATCGAAATCGACATCGAAGTTCAGTATTCAGTGTTGGATATTCGTGGTTTCCGAAATTGCGCGCCAAATTTGTCACCGTAGCGTTCCGTTGCGAGATTGTTATGTTTCGTATATCCTAGGGATAAACGAACATACATTCCATACATATCATTACATATACTTAGTGCTGCTCTTTGATCTGGCTTGGTTGTATTTATTTAGTTACTTGGCTTAACACATGCTACAAATGCATTCGAAACTTTCGTATTTACAATTCGATAGTGGGCTGAGTTCATATCGGGTTCATAGCTCCTCCTTCGCTTTTTAACATTTTTTTATTTTTTGGGTACTCTAATACTTCAATGGGTATAGTATGTGTATAATTGCATGTATCTAGAATTCGTAATAACTACGCGCTTCGGCCTTAATGCTTACAAAAATAAATTCAACACATTCAAGTACAACAAACATCTTATCTTACGAGTTAAACGCTACAGATTACAAATTACAGATATTGGTTTAGATTACATTGTCGTTTAGGAGCAGCGTGAGTTCCGTGTACAAATAAATACCTTTGGGTTAACGAGTGGTCCGGACTCCGGACACCGGGGGATGTCCCCAGGACCGCTACAGGTGCGCCAATATATCGATCTGATCGAGGGCACTAGCCTGGCCAGCTTGGGTCTGACCTTGCGCCTGGCTGCCGCTCCCCGACGGCGACTGCGAGATGGTCACGATGGTCACCAGGTCCTTCCCTCTCTCCCGTGTAGTAGTCTCCCTCTCGGGGGCTCGGTTGGAGGACTCTATCTCCACGATGGCGGACGTCAGCAGGGTGTTTGCAGCGTAGTCCGGCAACTGCTCCACCACCGACGGCTCCGGCATCTGCAGATCCTCGTTCGCCAACAGTCGTCCGGACGGAGCCGTCTCGATGTTCCGTTCGCTGCAAACGAGACTGGCGGGCGTTGCATTCCTGGAGCGGTAGCTGGGTGGCAGACTATACTCCGATCCGCCCATGCTGCTGCTGATGGTGCCACCGGCCCCACCAGCTCCTCCACCGCCGCCCATGCCGGAGCGCAGGGTGGTCAAAGGCGCCCTGGAAGTAAGTGAATCAAAGGATGAATTATTTACACATGAGCCAAGTCAATCCGTCCGGATCTATTTGCCCTTTGTGGGGCGTAAGGAGATGGCAAATATGTTAACCAAATGCACAAATTTGCATCCCTGGGACTGGGACCCCCTCACTCGGAGGTCTGTCTGCACTGAGAGAAACTACTAGGACTATAAAGTGTTAATCTATGATAGTATTTTACTTCCCCAACTGTCAAATATATGGCCCTGACTCTTTTTAGTGCCCTCAGATGTTTGCAGTCATCAGTATGTATGGGATATATGATGATGCCCTCTGGTGTCCCCTGTCCCATGTCACCCTGTCCAAACCCAGCAGCATATATTTGCATATGGGTGTGTGTTTTCTCTATATTCTCTCATCGTTGTCAATTTAAATAACAAAAGGCCGCTGTGGCAATTGTTGCCACGAGCAGGGGGCGAATGGAAGGGAACTAAACCCAAATCACAGACAATTCACACTTCACTCTGCAGAGCACAAAAGTCAACACTCGAACGCTCATCTGAGCATAATGGCCGCCCCCCACTTACCGGGGGAAGGCGTGGCAGGGATGCCCCATCCCAGCCCATCTCAAAATTCGAGAAACTCGCACAAATTGTATGAAGCAATTTGGAGTATGTAAAATTGCATTTAATTGTTCCGACAAAGATGTTCCCTGAGAAAGGGCGGCAGAGGAAGCAGAGAAATAAGTCATCGGCCAGGAATCGGCCTGGCCTATCTATATACATCTATTTGCATGAATATATCCTGCCAGGCTATGCGATGTCCTGTGCATAACAGGCAATTTTCGCAGCACTTTGGCCATCTCTTTGTATGTTTAATTGACTTGGCCGGAGCAGCCAGCAGCCAGCCCCAGCCAAGGGGACGTGTCCTTGTCCCTGGACACATTTCCATTCATCCTCTCCTCCCAGACAGCCTTCCCCCCAACAGTCTGTATTTGCCAGCTTTTCAGAGGCTGCTTGTTATGCGGCCTGGCAGGCCCTTCAAAATGTGCGCGCGTGTGTGTAAATATTTTGCAAAATTTCACAGAATTCTTTGCCAGTTTTTCACCCGGCTGCCTGAATTTGAATACGCACAGGGCTGAGGCTAGGGCTGGGACTGGGCCTGCTGCCTGAAAGTATGCTGTGATTTCTTGCCACACACTTTGCATAAGTTTTGCTTTTTGACATACTTCCGCTTTCTGGCTCCTACATCCGTTTCCCCTGGCCAACATTTTTGGCTAACCCAAGACGGTCCTCCGAAATCTGCTTTCCCTGTTGACTTTCCATTTGCATTACACACATTATAAACATGCGAGAGGCTGTGTAAAGTGCCGCCTGAGGTAAATTAATTTGTCATAAATACGTTAGTCTCTGAGTTGAAAATAGTATTAGAATAGTTGGCCCTCAAGTGCTGAAGAGGCTCTCTCCCTTAACTTTCAACGATCACCTTTGAATCCAGTGGCCCTAATAACGTCCTAACCTCAGGGTTCCTTTCTTTCCGAAATTATCTTTACAGAGTGACTGCCTTTGTCCCTGCTTCGCAATTTGTAGGCCATAAAAATCAACTTTTCTCATTAGCCCAACATTATGCGTTCCGGGCGATAATTATGCCACCACCCGCTTTCGGGCAGGTTCCGGATTGTCGTTTAAATTGCTGTTTCAAGGACCGGGGAGGACTACAATCAGATTGCTCATATATATTCCGGGGAGGATTGCCGCCTTATCTCTTCAATTAGTTGCCGAATCAATTGCCGAGTGCCTGCTCCCATCATCAGACAATCTTTCGGCTTTCCAAACCGGGAAAAATCGAAAATGCTGCGAAAAGTTTTCAACCCTGCCGCCGCCAAACGAAAAGCGATGTGTCAATGTTGACACCCCTGGAAACCGCACAAAGCCAAACCACCGTAGTGGGAGCCGATGTTGGAGACGGAGTCGGAGTCGGGGAGTCCCAGATTCCAGATCTCACACTCCTGCTCCTGCTCGTGCTTTGGCAGTGTGGAAAACATTTTGCGGTTTGGCAGGCGCCAAACTTTGCAAATAACTCACGGATGGCGGAACGGAGAACTGGCTGGATAAGGAGGCGGAAACGGAAGTGGAAGTACTTACCTCAGCAGGCTGCCCGCATGAGATCGATAAGTGGGCGGCGGGGAGTTGCCGCGCACAACCCCGTTCTGGCGATCGCGGTCCAACAACAGAAGTCTGCGGAAGAGAACGGAAAGGATTCGGGTGAGTGGTTGTAGCCACGACAGGAAAAGGGCGGCCCACAAAAGGGTGGGTTAACGCGGCTGTGGACACTGGCAATAGAATACACTGAGAAATAAGAATGATATGTTTTTTATTTCCAACCAAAAGGTCTCTAAAGAATATTTCTCAGTGTCTCTACAAAACGCTCTGACCACGGCATAATTATGCATATTGCAATTAATTGCGCCAGGACATGCGAGTGGCGGTCGAAAGCAGCAGCAGAAGGACCGCCACCAAAGTCCTTGCGTGCAACCGTAATTTATGCACCATCAGTTCTACCCGTTCGCAGGGGTTACTAGCTACTGGTGGAGTGTACTAGAGCTCTTCAATTATCCGGACAGTACTTACCTCAGCCGGTACTCCTGCATGCTGGCCTGGTAGGAGGGTGGCGGTGGGCGGTGCTGGAACTCCGGATAGAGCAGTCCGTGCGGGGCGCCTCCTCCTCGGCTGCAAGGCCTGCGTCCGCAGCGTCCTAGGTCCACGCTAGTGCCCAGTCCGAGTCCGAGGCAGCTCTGGCCCCCGGGCGCTGTCATTCTCCACGCGGCGCCACTCACAGTCACCAGAACCACGCCGACTCCTGCGAAAAGTTAAAAAAAAAGTGGGAGGAACAGAGTTAATTTCGAAGCTAAAACGGGGGAACGCCCCTTTGCCGATTTAATTAGCCCGCTCCAAGAGGGGCGTGCCGCTAGAGCTCCAAGTGCAGCTCCAAGTACCAACTTCAACTTCAGCTCGGGCCTAGGCCTAATCATGCCGAGCAGAGACTTTCACTTTTGTTTCAGTGGAGCATGTCATCATGGCAAATTTGCGAGCTAGGCATAGTACGATTTTATTAGCGAAAATTGTCATGAGCATTGTGACATCCCCATCTCCACGAAGAGGCAAAGACCCGGCAGAAACCTCGCCCATCAAGATGATGATGGGACTGCCGCTCCACTCCGGGCTTCGAGCATGCTACTCCAGCTCCATTATGTGCCTGGCTGAATGGGATCTGCTGACTGGCTGGGTTGATTGCCATTAAATTATGTAAAGTGCCGCCACATACAAGCTGAAAACTTTTGGGTAATTGCCGCCGAAAATGGCGCAATGTCACGCTCCGCGAGCTCCAACTAAACGCGCCGGCAATTGATTAGACGTCGCATAAAATCACACACACACAACCCAGACCATGGAGCACTACTGACTACCACCACCGGCGGTAAACTTGGCCCGCTGGTTGTGGTTACGTAACTGAATGATTCATGAATGGCCCAGAAAGCGGTATAGACACTGCATCCATTATTTGCGAATTTGCCGGAGCCCGCCTGGAGGTAAAATTCTTCTGACCGGAGCCCTAGGTGGTTGCACCCCTAAGGTGGCCCCTACACCACCTGTTGATCCGGTCAAATAGAGCTCTGGAACTGGGACTGGGAATGGACCAAAGAAATCGCAGCCGGAACTAAATGCTTTGCCAATATTGACTGTTGGCTCGTCTGGCTGCAAAATTTGTTTGTTCTTCGAACTGGGTCAGCAGATGTGCGAGCACAAAGCCCAAAGATACCCGGGAGCGGGCGGACGAACGGACAGACTGGAGGCACCACCTCCCTCCATTGTTGTTTTGTTGAGAAGGAAAATCCCAACAACAGGCGGCGGACACTGAACACCGAATGCCATTTATAATTGTAACAATTGTGAACAAACACAGGTCGCGGAGACCTTTTCACCGGCAGATGGGGATTTCCACTCCCATTCCCGCTGCCTGTGTCCCACCCCATGAGCCGGTGCCTCCTCCCATGCCCGCCCATGACTTGTGTAAACATCAGCGAACATCAAAAGGCGCTCGTCGCCGACTTTAATGCCATTTTTCACTGCTCGAATTTTTGCCAGATTGCGCAATAGTCCCTCCATCTACAATGCTCTACAATTTAATAGCCGAGCCCCAGCCACTTGCCGAGTAATTAACTTTCAACGTGACTTAAAAAATATGCAAAGGCGTTTAGTTTTCCGGTTACGTTACTAACATTTAGTCACTCAATTTTAGTGACACTTTAAATAATTCACCTTAAAATTTATACCTTTAACTAGTGACATTTAAGGCATTTTAATATCCGAACTAAGTTTACTCACCGATCATGAGCAGGGCGGCGGTTAGGTGCGAATTTGGCGGTCCGGCCAGGCTGGTGGCCCCCAGGGCTGCTCCGCCGAGGGCGCAGGCCACGCCTCCCAGTGCCACAACGGCTATGAGGGCGCGCAGCGGCGGACCGGCGAACCACTGGCCGCAGCATCCCTTGCCGGATCTCTCGGAGGGGGACCTGGAATGAGGAGGAAAAACATATTTTCAGTCGAATGGCAAGAACTAAAAGGGCGAAATGGTGCAAGGAGCAGGTGGGACGAGGGTACAACAGATGTTTTTACTCCGCAGCAAATTGGCAAAGACGAGGACGAGGTCCTTTTTCTTTTCAACCAGACACCCAGCCAAGACCCGAGACGAGTTTCCTTTCACAAAAGCGCAGCGAGTGCGCAATTGTTGTAATTTGATGATTTATGAGCCGAACGACCAAAAATTTGCGCACGAAACAAAATGAAAGGACCCAGAGTATCCTTGGTGGTTGGCAGGACGGAAAAGGCAGACAGGCAGACGACGTAAAATATTTTTGCGGAGAAAGGACAATTTATGAGACGCAGACGGCGACACTGGCAAAGGCAAAGGCAAAAGGACGTGTGCGTAAATTCATTAGGACACGGCTAGCCAGCGTGTTGGCAGGACGAAACCCTTTCGCCTCGGGGCGAGACAAACAATTAGAGGAGGAAATATTTATAGGCAGTGGAACGGGTATGGGTATGGGTGTGTCATCGAAGAAGCTGCCTCACAAAACATGATAAATCGTTGCAAAATTACGTGCACAAACATATCTCAATAAACAAGTTGCTTTGTGCGACCGGATATTTATGTTGAATGTTAGATGGATGCCCTGCTCCAGCTGGCAAGGATTTTGGATTTTTCGACTCTTTTTATGGCAGGCCATTAAAAGCGGAAAGGGAGTTGGGGTAAAGGTCTTCGACACCCGTAATGCGACGTAAGGCGGCATGAATGTTTCATCATTGTCGTGTCATGATAAATTTGATCTCCCGCGGAAATGAGCACGCAAATACCAGAGGTGAGAGTCTTAGCCCAAACAATAATTAAATTCTCCTAGAGTTCCTAATGACACGATCTCGGGGCCCCAAGACGTTGAGACGTTCCCAGAGCGGCTTTTTTTCAATCGCAGTCCCCTGCTGCGACAAAGTTCAACTACATCGACTTATCTCCGAGATACAGCGAAGCATCTTCTCGAAGTGCAGACACGGCCCCCTTCGAGGTGGATCGCTTCTAAGCAGAAGATGATTGATAGGAAACAAATTGGAGGCGGACCTAGCCGTGGAATCTCGCGCCCCATTAGCATCGGCATTCCCATGTGAGCGCGGCGGGGCCTGGCTCATTAGAAATCATCGCAAATGCGCCGGAGCACTGCATCGAACAAACATTGGAAATTGCGCACTTGCTTACTACCAGGGGGCTTCTATTTGTCCAAGTACAGATTATTTATTAGGCTGTAGAAGCGTCATAAACTTATGGAAGGCACTGTCAAGTATTGCAACTAGTTCAGGGGCAGCGCTGGGGCTTAGAAGCTCCACAGTCGGGCGGTCTGTCAGTGCGGCAATTATTCAATCAACGACTGCACTTAATTTTCATTTATTAATTGCAATTTGTAATTGCCAACATTGACACAGTTCCAGCCAGCCGTGTTGGCTTCAATGTGTTTACTCTTCGCGCCCGCCAATCGCGCCCGCCAACTTTCATTTTGCAAAGTTTCCATTTAAATGGCGGTGCACTGGTCGACTTCCGGCGACTTCGCCTCCCATCCTTTCCCTTCCGGCAGGCTGTCAGATTGACATTTGCATGCGAGCCAGCAGTTTCCAACTGATTAAGCAATTTTCCGAGCATCAAAGGCGAGGCGGCCAGAGTCGGAATGGGTTTTTTTTATCAGCCCAGTCAACTGAAGCTCCCCGGACATAAATGCTTCGGCTGGCAGCACCCACGCGGCAATTAGAAGAAATACACTCACTAATCAGAGTTTAATGGAAACTTGATTATATTTATCAGGCGATTTCCCCTGCCTGCGTGGGAAATCCAAACGAAAGCAGTGGAAAACTAATTAAATGCGAGACGCAGACAATGAAAGCGAAATTCGTGTTGCATTTCATTTACATGAATATTTGATAATTTATTTAATTCGCTCGGGGAGGAGGTGCTTTTCTTTTGCACTTGCTCTCTCGGCTCGCTTTTCCTTTCTTTTCACCTCGACATTATGTAATTAAAACGTGGAAAACGGAAAATGAGGCAATCACTGTGCCGGGCCGGGGGAAAATGAAAATAATTAGCTGGAAAAGCATATTAACATTGGCACATTGATTCAAAGAGCTGGGCTTTAGAGAGAGAGGGGCCTTTGGATGCCTATTTCTGCGTTTCAGATTTTGGCTAGCTGGCTGGCTGGCTCACTGGCTTGGTTTCTGACTGTTTTGTTTAGTTTTTCGTTGCAGCTGGTTGCCTGGAAGACGGATTAGGCCACGAAACCCATTTCCAGCTTTCAATCAAAGAGCTGGATAGCCCTACTAAGCCCCCTCTTCCGCGGGGCATAATTACAGAGCGCTTTTCAACTTTGCCGCAGTTCTGATTTGTAATAGTAACTTTTTTGTTCGCTCATTGTTTTGTGGTCTTTTGTGGTTTTTGGCAAGAGGTTTCATTTTTGGGACTCGATCTGCGAACACCGAACAGTGAACAACGGGCTGCGTTAATTTGGCCAGAGTTTTGGGGGTAACGTTTGTTCTTTTGGTTAGAGTCGAGTGAATCGAGTTCAAAAGATTGGTGCTTAGAGATGTGTTCTGCTTGGCTGAGAGCCTCCAACGATTAAGATGGTTCAGGGGGAACCCTGAACCGAGATCCGCTTCACTCCCAGCGTGTTCTATTAAACTCCATGACGGTGGCAGAGCTTTGAAAATTTCTTTGAAGAGAAGACGAACGATAAACGCCCCAACATATACTCCCCTTACGTGGGTTAAAGAGACATAAAACGAAAACCAGTAGCAATAGAAACCGAGACTCTCAGAACATGACATTCACCCGGCATTAAAATCGCAGTTGTTTGTTCGCCGCATATATAAAAAATGAAAGCAACCAGATCCAAGCAGAGCCCAGCAGACGGCAATAAAATATCCAAGCGAAAGAGACAAAGTCACGTTGTCTCTCGTGGCACTCGAATGGGTGTCTAGTACACACTATATAGCACTGGCACATACATAGACTGGAGTGCTGGCGGAGTAAAAATTTCACATACAGCCGCAGAAACTTCTGACCTACTAACTGAAAAAGAGGCAGAAGCCAGCTAGAGACAGAGCGGGTCTCTAAACTTGGGCAACGTTTTTCCAGTTAACTGCAAACGCTTTGACGCCTGACTGATGCCGGAGCTCCGAAACCGAGTGGCTCCAAGACCCGGCCTGCTCAAAAGCCACCTTAAAGAGCACGGGCTGGTAAGACAGTATCTTCTGGTGGGCGGAACTCGAGCACACGACTTTGATAGTCGCCCAAGAGCGCAGTGTCTGTCAGTTGAGTTGTCGGAGGAGTTTTTGGCACTGGCACTGCCGCGATTTGGCTGACACGCTCCACTCCCCCGGATGCCAGGGCCCGGTCCCGGCCAAGTGAGCTTTTAATGCGAGTGTAAAAGATTATATGGCAAGCTTGGCGCTGTCCATTGATTGCGCCGTTGGCATCAGCACTGGGCGAAACTATAGTGACCTAGTTGTAGTCTCTACAGATTCTTCGAGATTTTCATGACCACTTGTTTCTCCCAGTGCTCCCAGTGCAGTCAAAGTTTTGGGGCAGCGTTTATTGCCAATTTTTGAATGCATAAAATGCAAGAGTTGCCAGCCATTGACGCCCACGCACGGCTTTTTTATGCGTCCCCTCAGTCTGCTCCCGAGCTGGAAGCCCCTGGTATATAGGGCACCATGCCAAGTGTGCGGAGGATATATAGAAACATCAACCGCCCACATCGTGGAGAAAGGAGAACGGAGGCTCTGGGGGGAAGGTGGACCATTTGCTGGCGGGGAACAAGTGCCAAACATCGTGACGACAACGACAATGCAGAGTCGCAACTGCGTCGAGTCTGAGGCATTTCTAATTTGAGATCCGTTTCTAATTTCTGGCTTTCATGTGGCACAGCCACAGTCGTGGCCGTGGCATCCACAGCAGCAGCATCAACATCAGCATCAGCAGCTATGGAGCAGCTAGCAGCATCAGCATCCGGGTTGGCAATTACTTTTACATGTTGCCGACGCGACATCGTAGCGGCAACAGCAGCAGCAGCAGCAACTTTGCTGCAAGAACCGCAGCCAATGTGGCGCGCTCTCTCGAAATACACACAACCATGTGTGTATTTAGGTGTATGTATCTACGAGATGTTCGTCGCTTAAGTGGCTGCGTCATAAGGCTCTCAGACGTTTGGTTGCTGGTGTTGTTGCAGATGTTCATGTTGCTGTTGCAATGCAATCCTCCAACAGGGAACACCGACTGGGATTGAGTCTGCCATGTATCTGTGTCGCTATACGTATGTACATAAATTAAATTCTTAAATTGCTCGTTAGCTCATCATGAGGTTTTTTCATTCATTCCTGCAGTTGTTGATGTAGCTGCACTGAAAAAAAAACACCAAGAGACCAAATAGATAACATCTGGACTCATAAATTAATGTGTTTGAGAGAGAAATCTTTTCCGAAAAAACCTATAAGATGTACCTTATTTTAGTGCTAGTTTCTCTTAGTGCATCTGCTATAGATATCGTTGGACCATGATGGGCTACAATAACAATAATCACACTGCCAGCAACCACAGCACTGCAACAACAATGACAACAACTTTGTCGGCCACAATGTAGGTCACTCGTAGCCCCCTCCCTGTTCCCAGTCCCAGTCCTGCGCCTTTCCTAGCGATTTCCCTCGAATTCTATGCGCTTTTAATATCGCGGCAGTGGCATCTTCGAGTGATTCAATTTAGCGCCCAATGGACTCCCCTGTCTCTGCAGCGGTCTCCTTTGTCTCCGGCGTGGTCGAAAGTTGGGGACAGAATTATGTGCGCCAGTGGGGAGCTATTATATTTATATTTTTACGACGACTATTACCCGGCCGAGATGCGGGCTCTTCAACTGGCACAATTTCGTCACCCATGAGATGCTATCGGCGGGGAGTTGTCATTAATTAGAATACATTAATGCCTCGA